ATACAGTGGAGGCTGGGGATAGGACACCAAAACTTCAAAACATAACATATGGTCAGACTGTCACACACTGACATTTCCAAATTATCAAATTTTACATGGAAGCAAAACAACATTAAAGTTTCTTTAAGCTCTCTCCTCACTGGCCTTCATAACTAAGACAACTATGGCCTTAGTTTATACTTAGACTGACGATATCACACAAGCTATTCAGAGAGCACTCTTGCTCCACACTTTCTAAAACACAGAAAATCTGCAGATTGTGACTCCACACCTGGTTTTCACATGGTTCATCACTGTTCTTCTTTTTTTTTCTTTTACTTTAATAGAACTATGCCAGTGTAAAATCCAACTGACTGGATTGCTTCTCTAAGTCAACTCTCACTTGAGCAGATCTAGATGAAAGAATATAGAAGGAGCAATCTATCCAGTGCTGTCACACGTAAGTTCCTGGCCATGCACTGTTTGGCCTTAACCTATGTTTTTAAATTAATTAGATTTATCTAGTAATGACCTTTAAAATAGTTTAAGTGGCCCTCTATAGATTTCCTCTACCATTCTCCTTCAGCCTATTTAATGCTGATGTACTAGTTGGAGGGCTGTTATTTCTGAAAAATAAGTATCAATATTATACATTTCTACTTATCTCTTCTAGCAATACAACAGTAATTATATAATATAATATAATATATATAATATATATAATAAAATTACTGTTGTAATATTCCAGTAATAAACAATTCTGGAAAGATTCAGTCAAAGGATACATATAAACTCACCTTAAAACTATTTTTCCTATTCCACCTATCTGCTATGGCAGTCTGAATAGTAGCATCCCTAAATATCCCACGTATATGATGCAAAAGGGTGAAAACATTATAAAACATGTTCAGGAAACAATACCTGTCAAAGACAGAAGCAGTGAGTGCAGCATTTCACTAATCCCAATGAAAAGGTTGTGGGATCTGCATTGTCTTGTAATTTTCTCTAGAAACTAGCATTTAAAGGAATGACATAGTTTAATACCGTAGGTATGACACTCACACTTACTCCTTCCCACAAACACTAGCTGAGAATTACACTCATTAAGATTTAACAGGGCACCTTAAAATCTACAAATGTTCAATGTCTAAAAAGAAACTTAACAGCTAAATTAGAAAAAAAGAAACTGTTACCCTTTAGTTTCAATTAAGTGAAACCCAACCAATCAAACAATAAGTAGGAAAGTCCTTTGTCTGTAAAAATAATCATGTATATTTATAAAATAAATAAAATTTATTATTTATATATAAATATATATTTTTATGTATTATGATAATGGTCATTTACTTCTATCACACTGATTTTTCAAAGTGTCCTATTCTTTTGATAACTATACAGTGTGTTTTGCTCTAGTCACTAGTCAAATAGATTTGTACGAATATGTATCCTGAATTCTAATTTAAGTAGAAACTACTATGTCAGTGAAGGAGACTCGATATACCTTTTAAAACTTCCCATCCATTTACATTAATTGATATAATTTTCCCAGTGTTGCCAGGTGCAGCCAACACTTAAAGCCAACACAGAATTAAAAGCTGTTTCTATCACCTAAAACTCAATACTTTAACTTACTTTGAGCCATTTACTTTTGATTATATATCTCTTATCAATATAAAAACCTGTGTAAACTTTTAGTATCATTGTACGGACACATTTCTCAATGTTTCACAAAAACAACAGGAGGGAAAACTGAGCATGTTAGTTCACATTTCTGTTCATTTCAAAGTTCAAATCTCATAAAGAATCACAAAGAGAGCTCTAAAACAGGCCACCTTTCAATTTCTTTAGACTTTAATCTCAATCATATTTAAAAAAAATAAACAGTAGCCTTTACATAAAACTTTCAAAGTAATCTATGAATATACTGCTGTCTTCCAACAATGTTCTGGGAAAGGTCGCCGGTTCATCAGCACACGGACTAACTGTACAGTGAAACTATTATCCCTCATCTGATTTTCTGTCAGGAAAATCACTTTTGTTCAGAGGATTCTCAGCTTAGTGCATCAAAAAGATTTTTCTGATCAACAAAACATGAATACACGACTTCTTCCCAAAAGCTATTTCTTTTTGGCCAACTTTTATTCAAAAGCAAAACTTCACTCTAATCCTTTTGCAAAATAATTTCCAGGTAATTTTTTATAGACAGCCTGTAAACCAGAAAACTAGCAAGCTATTTTCTGCTGAAGTTGGCACAGCTAGTGGACAAGCAACAACAGACATTAAAAGCTTATCATTCTTTAGCCACAAGTTTTAATACTGCTTCTTTTTTCAGCCTCTACCTTTATTACCTGAGATAATCACAGTCAGACTTTGTGCCAAACTAAAAATCTGTATTTCATCTCAGTCTTAGCCCCAGGCCATGTGCATTATTAAGTATTTAATCCCCAGCCTAATAACTGACTCAAATCTAACACACAAAAATAACACCCAATATCACAACCCAGCACTGCAGTTTTGGGGTGGTTTTCTTCCTTTTTCAAACACTAAAGAAGGCACCATAATGCAATGGACATTTAAAGAATCAATCTCAGTGTGTCAGATCATGGTAACTTGTTAGGTGTAGATCAGGGCTTGAATTAGAGGCAGGCTTGCTTGAGATTTTAGGCCCTTATTCAGCTTTCATTTCAGATTCCCCAAACCTCTGAAGATATTTTTAATTTTGTGTCTCTTAGGTCAAGGAGACTGTTCTTATTTTGTATCACATGCTGTAACTTTATAAAAAGAAGTGCACTACTGGGCTTAGGCAGTAATGGATTTTGATGTTGTTTCAACAACTGAAGGTGTATCTAAAAATCTGGATTAGTTCCATGCAATCAAAAATGAGTTGCTAATAAAAGTTAATTACAATGTTTTAAAACACTGCCTAATCAGTAAAATGCTCCCTAAAGAAAATAAAAGCTTTTATTCAAGTAGAGCATGAGGCTTTTTATTATTATTTTACTTGTTTATACAGAGGCCCTTCCTTTTGGATCCAGCCTGGACCGAAATATTGAGGATAGTGTTATTCAGAAATTCCAATCTAATATGACCATACTTAATAAAAAGATTGCCGCGATTTGAGATTCCATATTCAACTTCTAATATTTGAACTGAATGAAAACACATGTAAAAATTAAACCCTCTGAAAAACCTCTGTCACAAAATAATCAGGAATATCTTGTCTATAAATAAGCGATATAGTTAACACAAAACCATAAAGTCTATCAATTCCCATCTGCTACTTGTTTCTCAGTCTCGTTTACAAGATAAAAACAGTTCTTCAGCCACCCTCAATCATATGCACCTATTTAACCATAACGTTTATGCGCAAGTAGCTAACCCACCTCTGCAAAAAGTCTGACATGCCAGGAGTGCCAGTTATTCTTAGAGTGAGGCATGACCACAGTTTCACGTAATTAGAGATGTTATAAAACGCATCCCGCCCGCTCGCCCCATCCCCCTCCACCACTACCACCATTGCAGGAGTGACTTGTTACACATCGCGATGAGCAAGAGACATTCCCTGCCCGGGGAGAGAGCGGAGATCTGGCCATAAAAAGGGCACGAGATGCAAACAGGGATC